AGGAGTGGCTGGTGGGTTTGAACCACCAGCCTTCTGGTTAGCAGTCAAGTGCCTTAGGCACTATGCTACCAGAGCTCCCTTAGTTACTATAGGGAATGTCTAACTACACCTCGCAAAAGATCTGAATGAAGTTTTACTTCTCTGTCTTCATGTCTTCAACCTCCACAAGGGCCTTCTCTTCTCTACCAGATTCTGAGGCTTCCTGAAGGTGTAGCTGTCTGTCCCCTCAGGGTGGCCATGGTACTCCCACCAGGATGGGTATGAGAGCTGGAGAGGAGAAGTGGTCTAGAACCCTTCTCCCCACTCTCTATCTCCCGAGATCTCTCTTTGTATCCTTGCCCTTTTCAGGGTTCCAGCAAGGTGTCTACACTTTATCCTCAGGTCCATCTTCCACTTTTCTCTCTGTCATGTCTTTGCTCGAATAGTTTCCTTCCAGAATGAACAACCCACCTATTCTGTTTTAAGACTCATCTCAAACACCTTTCCGTCATGGCTTCTTCCCATCTCCCCCATCAGACTCCTCCTCAGTTCCCCTGTGGCACTTTGTCTACACTTCTAGAAGAAACTACCACTACTGTCTGTCTTATGTGATAATCAATGTGGACTATACAAATAAACAAATACAGCATCTCTCTTCAGAAGCTAATGATCCCATGAGGGAGAAAGGCATGGAAACAAACAAATGCACTACCACCACCAATCCTGAGCAGGAGGAGGGGTGCACATAAGTGAATCAAAAGGTCTACCATTTGGACATGCACCAAATGTTGCCAATGGGTTGAATGAAATGATGTGCCTCCCTGTATAGAGTTCTTCTATGCCTGTAGAATTTATTGTATTTAATAAATACAAATCCTTTCAAAAATGTTACTGAATATAGAACTATTTTTTATCATTTTATGTTCTTTTAATCAATAGATGCCAAAGGTACAAATGTCATCATATGGGGATCTGAATATTGGGGTATTTAGAGGGAGACTCATCTCTGAAAAGGTTCTGAATGCTGTCATTTGATGTTATTGACAGGCCTTGGGCCCACCCAGGCCCACCCTACCCCACCCCGCCAGCTGGGTGAAACCTCACCTTAGTTTGGAAACTTTCCATATCATCAAAACCCACCCACTGGTTGCCTTGGAAAGCGTAGGGCACCTTCTGGTCCTGGATCCTGAGCTTGGTGGCTCCCTGCCAGGAGCAGACCTGCAGGAGCAGAGAGAGGGGCAGTGCTGGGAGGAAGAGGGAGGCATCTAGCCAGCAGAAGACAGGAATTGGAAAATTTCTGTCTGAGGGAGTCTGGGGAACACAAGAGATTCTAGATTGAATGACCTGGAACCCTAGATTCAGTTTGAAGCATCTGGGCTTAAGGATAAATCTGAGATGACAGGGATGGGATGGGATGGAATGGAATTCACCAGGCTAAGATTTGCCATCTCTGGCATCCTCATTCAGAAACTGTGGAAGCAGCTTTCATTCCTCTCAGGCTGTCCCTGCCCTTCCCCCCCGCCACACACACACAATACTCAGGGTGGCTGCAGGGTTTTCCTACCTCATAGTAAGCCAGCACCCCTCCCTCCTTGGTGAAACGGCCAGGCGTCCCAGGCCCTGTGGCTGAGACCCCCACTCCAGTGTTTGATGAGGAAGCCAGGGTAAAGGTCCGTCCATAGGTGGGCATGCCAAGAATCAGTTTGTTGGCAGGAGCCCCCTTTTGCAGCCAGTATCCCACGGCAAAGTCCTGGTGGCAGAGAAGGAGGGGCAGGGTGAGGTTTTTTTTTGCCATCAGTCTGATTCTGGCTGCCCAAGACTGAGGGCCCCAGAGGCTGAGCTAGAAGAGTAGAGAGTCCTTAGCCAGAGCTTCAAGGATCTTTATTAATGCTCCAAACCTGCCCCATCTTCCTTAGACCCTCTGTCCCAGGGAGAGAAACCACATGGTGGTATAGCCAAGAGCATGGGCCTTGGAATCAGACAGCCCTTCACTGAACAAATATGTACTGACAGCCTTCTGTGTCCCAGGCATGGTCCTAGATGCTAGGAATGCATCAGTGAACAAACAGAGATTCCTGCCCACAAAGGGCTCACTCAGCAACTTACATAACTTTGTTAACTCTTAGGTATCCTGTCTATAAAATGAAAATAAAAGTTGATTCTCATTGTTTGCAGTACTTATATTCTATAAGAATTATATAAATTCTATGTTCAATGCAGTGTTGAAAAGCAAAGATGTCACCTGGAGGACTAAGGTGCACCTGACCCAAGTCATGGTATTTTCAGTTGTCTCACATGCATGTGAAAGCTGGACAATGAATAAGGAAGATCAAAGAAGAACTGATGCTTTTAAATTATGGTGTTGGTGAAAAATATTAAGTATACCATGGGCTGCCAGAAGAATGAACAAATCTGTACTGGAATAAAGTGCATCTAGAAGGCTCTTAAGAAGAGAGGATGGTGAGACTTCATTTCACATATTTTAGATGTGTTATCAGGAAGGACTGGTTCTTGGAAAAAAGATACTCTGCTGGATAAAGTAGAGGGTCAGCAGAAAATAGGAAGACCCTCAACAAGATGAATTGATACAGTGACTGCAACAATGGGCTCACACATACCAATGAGTGTGAGATGGCACAGGACCAGGCAGTGCTTAGTTCTGTTATACACAGGGTCACTAAGAGTTGGAACTGACTTGATAACACCTAACAACAGCATGTTCTATACATTTACTGCAAAGGCTGAATTAACAAATCCCGAACCATTGTTCCTAGGGGAAATACAGGGTTAGGTTCCTTTGAGCCTTTGGTCACATTTTTGTCAAGTAATCAACACATAACCTTGTTTTATATGTGTTTCTGTTAAAAAAACAAAACAACAACAACAAAAAGCCTTGTTTCATATATATGTTGATTCATTAATCTTTACCTTGTGGCCAAAAGTAATGTAAGCCACACATGAACGAAGCTTATCAAATACATATATTTTCTCCATAAGGTTCATCAGTCTTCTTGCTCTTAGGAACACTAAACAGCAATTCAGCACTATGCTTGGAGGCCATTTTAAGTGGCAAAACTACAAAGAAAAAGCTCAAAAGTGCAAAAAACTAGGCCACTAAATAGACTGCAAAAAGGACACTTGTTTATAGTATGAGAACTGAACCAAGAAGGCAGCACATCGCCTTGTTTGACTATAGCTGGGAATATGAGTGTCAGGTAACTTAAACTTTTGGTGCTCTGCACATGTCCTTGAATGACTGCAAAAATGCCATGAGTATTGATTTGGGAGGAGCTCTGGTAGTGAAGTATCTAAGGCACTTGACTGCTAACCAGAAGGCTGGCAGTTCAAACCCACCAGCCACTCCTCAGAAGGAAGATGGGGCAATCTACTTCCTTAGCGATACTGCCTCGGAAACCCAAGAAGGTTTTCTAGGCTGTAATCTTTGTGAAAGCAGATCTCCAGGCCTTTCTTCTGTGGCATTTGTAGGCAGATTCAAGCCAACTTTTAGGTTAGTAGTTCCAAATCCCCAAGCTGCTCCACCTCCTCCTTTCTCAGTGTCCCTATAACCCTGACCTTCTTGAGGGTCTCAAGTTTTTAAAGACTCACTCTACTTCAATTTGCATAGCAGCTGTGGTCACCCAGAGACCTCAGCTAAGCCCAGTCTAAAGTCAAGCCTTCACTTTCGGGGGTTTACAGGGGGTAGTTCTGCCCTGAGTGACTTCTCTTGAGTTACTATCAACTTCTTAAAGCCTCCATTCTCAGGAAGCACTTTCCAGAAGGTCTACCAACCACCAGGGAGCAAAAGTCTGCCCACTGTGCTGAAGAAAACATGGTGAGGGTGAGGGTGGGGGAGTGTGAAGAAAGCAGGAGCCATTTTGGCTGGAAACTCAAACTCAAAGAGGGTTCCCAATCAGTCATTGTTTGTTTGATGCCATTAAATTGGTTTCCTGTGTCTGATATCAACCAAGATTCTACACAGAAGTGAGGTTTCCCTTAGTAGTGGCATGGAACAGGAAAAGAAAACAAATGAGCAAAGAAACAAAAATTGTTGGGTTTCTCGCCCTGTGTTTCTGTTCCATCCACGCCTCAAGGCTCTGAAAAGCCACCTGACAGGGCCTGATGGATGCGGGTCCTGCCTCTGACCCCTCTGACCACTTACCACATTGAATTCAGCTGCTGCACCGCTCTCTCCCTGCCTCTTGTAGAGTGGGCTGTTGTGTCCTGTGACTTTCTCCCAAGTGCCATGGAAGTCATAGGCCATGAGGTTGATGAAATCCAGGTTTCTGCAGGAGGCATGGAATGAGGAAGTGGGGGGTCTCATTTTTAAAGCCAAGAGAACAGGAGAGGCCCTCCCTCCTCCACCTCAATCGCCACACACAGTGGTTCTGTGGAAGGTGACTTGGACAGCTTACCTCAACCCCCTTTGTTTTGGTTCTCTAGAGCTGCTATAACAGACATACCACAAGTGGATGCCTTCTTCTGACAGGAATTTATTCTCTTACAGTTTAGGAGGCTAGAAGTCTGAATTCAAAGTGCTAGCTCTAGGGGCTGGGCAAAAGCCCCTTGACTTGGGCTTCCTGTTCCAAGCCCACTAGAGCTGGAGGCTTTTTCTGACTCACACAGCTGCTGGCTGCTGAGGCTGATGAACCCAAGATCAACAAGTAAAATGGCACATTCCCAAGATTAGCAGACAACACGGCAGGCCACTAGCTCAAGTCCAGGAACAACCCCAAGATCGGCAGGCAATGTGGCAGGCCACAGAGACAAAGACTTGGCCAAATGCAGGACCTAGATGTGCCAAATGCTCAAGACCCTTCTCAAAGCATCTCCTTAAATACTAGAACAGGCCACATCCCAAAGGCAGCTAATTAACTGCTCACAGCAGATTCCACCATGCAGTTGATAACACCACATCCGATCTCATCATGGGGAATAATTGCATCCAGCTTGCCAGCCACTCAAAACCAGGCCTAGCCAAGGTGACACACAACATTAACTACCACACCCATTATCAAGGGCACTCTCAATCAAACTGTGAGTTGGAATTCCTGTCTTTAACACCCTCCCCACACCATCTGCTCAGCTCCTCAGGCCCCACCCCACTCAGGAACCCTAGTGCTATTTTGCTATTGTGGAGGGAAATCTAGCTCAGTGTTTCTCAGACTTTAGTGTGCATACGGACTGCCCGGGGAATTTCATTAAAATGTAGGCTATGATTCAGGAGGCCTGGGGTGGGGCCTGAGAGTCTGCATTTCAACAGGCTCCCACGTGGTATGGGTGCTGTGGGTCCACAAATTACACTTTGAGGAGCAAGGATCCAGATGGCTCGTTCCTTTGGAGATACAAGGGGCTTCGCTTTTCCCCTCATGGGGTGTTTTCCTTTTAAGAGTGAGTTCTCAAGGAAGGATCCCAAAGATCCAAGAGAAGGAATCTGGAATGTGCTGTCACAGACACAGTGAGTTCTTCCTGGATTTGCCAATGGAGGGGTGGGGCTTTCCCAAAGTGCTATCTTGGAGGTGACACCTCCTTTGCTCCCAAGGAAGCTCAGTTTGCCCTAAAACTGGTTCTCCCACTCCAGACAACACGTGCCAAGACTCACTGAGCGATTTTGTCCACCTCGTATCCAGCGTCCACGATTGCTCGCCCTGCGGAGACAGCTGCACTCAGGAGGAGGCGCTCCTTCTCGGAGCTTTGGGCTTCTTGCTGGAAGGCACTGACCAACTCCTGCAGGGGCAGCTTAGAGTGAACACAGAGGCAGAGACCAGGACCCCATGAGCCCAGGGAGATACTAGCTCTCAAGAGTCTGAAAACTGATCATGGATTGGCCTGTGATGGGCACACATGTGTAGTAGCTGACCCTGGGGGCAGACCAATGTCCATGCATCCTGTGGGGCCACAGCTCTGACCCCCTGGCAGCCAGGGTGGCCCCTTCCTCACCAGCCATACCTGCACCAAGGCTGTGAAGTGCTGTTTATCTGAGGCAGGGCTTCCTCGGCTTCCTGGGAATTCCCAGTCAAGGTCAAGGCCATCAAAGCCATATTTGCGCAGAAATTTGATGGCTGAGTTGATGAAGGTCTGGCGGTTGCTGGCAGTGGCCACCATATCTGTAAACCTATGAGATGGTGAAGGGGCATGTGGGCCTACCTTGGGCCACACTGCCTAGGGCCAGTCCCACAAGGGCAACCAAGAAACTACTCAGGATAGAGGTGCTGATGTGTCTAGGCCAGGAGCACTGCTGCAGAAACTGCTGGGGATGTTTTCTGGTGAATTTTGGGTCTGGCTAAAGAAAAGGGACAATTTGGTTCTTCCCCTCAAACACTGACATCATGAAGAATACCAGGTTCACTAGTAGTTCTGCTTCCCAAAATTCCCTCCAGCAGCCAACTACCATGCACCTGCTCAGGGTGTTGCCCTGCCCTGAATCAGAGCTAGCTGTCACCCTGGCCTGAAGGTTTAAAAAGAAGAGGAGGAATCAGTTTTGAAGAGGAAGAGAAAGAGAGAATTGCAGCGATGCCCGTGGAGAGCAGGATGACTCAGGAACTCTCTGCTCTGCTTCCCTGGCACGTTCACCATCCTCCTAACTCACATTTCCAGAGAGCTTTGTGCTACCACCGTGAGGAGTCCAGAACTCTTCCAAATCCCCAAGCTGCCCCACCTCCTCTTTTCTCAGTGTCCCTATAACCCTGACCTTCTTGAGGGTCTCAAGTTTTTAAAGACTAACTTTACTTCAATTTGCATAGCAGCTGTGGTCCTTTGGTTAGGGATCCCAAGCTAAGGACCCCTACATTTCAATGAAAAATCTGGAGATAAGCATTATTGTGGGAGATGAGTCATCAGACTCTTATTTTGGGAGCTCTCATCAGATTCTCAAAAGGTTAAACAATCCAAAAAAGTTTGAGAAATACTGATTGGGAGCTCTGGAAACCATCTATTCTGGATTTTCTAGGAAAATTCTGGTTCCAAATATTCTTTTTTTATTATCTTCATAAATCATCAAAATGTCCCAGAAATGCTAATATTTTGGCATCCAAACTCAATCTCACAGACTTTCTTTTACACCTAGAAGTGGAACAAAATTATTTCTCGGATAAGTTGTTGTTGTTGTTATGTGCCGTCAAGTCGGACCCTACTCATAGAGACCCTTCCTTGGGTTTCCAAGGCAGTATCGCTATGGAAGTAGATTGCCCCATCTTCCTTCCAAGGAGTGGCTGGTGGGTTTGAGCCACCAGCTTTCTGGTTAGCAGTCAAGTGCCTTAGGCACTATGCTAATTTTGTTTTAGTGCTTAGAAAATATAGACAGGGTATATAGTTGGGATTAGTTGGGACTCCTGTCTCCTCCCTTCCCTCACCCCATTTCATAGAGGAAGAGACTGAGGCCTGTAAAGAGGTCAGAACTCTGTGCTTCCTTCAGGTCTTGTGCCTCTGGGAAGACTTCACCCGCACAGCCTAGAGCTCTAGCCCACTTCTCTGCCCTCCAGATGGGGCACTAAGAACCCAGAGTCTAGGCTGCTTTCCTATATCCCAACCACACCCAAGACTGGCCCAAACTCTCTGACCAGGGCTCTCTGCCCCAGTGTACCAAGTCCCCACCCTGCTCACCCTCCCACCGTCAACTCACTTCTGAGTGCCAAAGTTCCAGCCCCCAATGGCCAGCAGGGTCTTCAGCTGGGGGTTCCTGGAAAAGATAAGAGATGCACTGGAATTGACCTAGCCAGCTCCCAGGACTCACCTTCCTGATTGGAAAAGCAAGAAGCTAACAGATTGATGGCAGGCTTGATGGGGTAAGGGGATGAGAGGTATGCATAAATCCTCATGAGCCCTATGCCAAGCACTCTGGGGGAAGTTCTAGATAAGGAAAGAAAAGACATGTTCCTGTCTTCAAAGACCTGACAGTCTGAGTGGGGAGACACAGCAGGAGTGCATACATACCAGGGAATCCAGGCAGAGGCAGAGCAGGGTGTGTAGTCAGAAGCTTTGTAAAGGTGGTAAGAGGACTCGAAGGATGGATAGATTTTAGGAGAAGGCTGGGCATTCCCAGCAGAGGGAACAGTTTTATAATCCTGATCCCACTTAGATCTAAGCTGGAAATGTCCTTAAGGATCCCTTCATCTGTTCATTAAGGGTGCTAGAATGATTTGGAACAGGATAGCTAGAGGTTGCATGTCTTGAAGACCATAACCAATGTCACTGAATTGTATCTGTAGAAATTGTTGAGATGGCATATGTTTTGTGATGTATATTTTCACCACAAATTAAAAACAAAGAAAAAAAAGAATGCCCCTTACCTACTCCCGTATAAAGACAGAAAAGCCCAGAGAGGGGATGCGATTTTCCAAAACCACACAGCAGGTCTATGGTGGCACTGCTGAGCAGGGAAAGGTTTCTGGCTCTGAGAAATGGTACCCATCCTCTCCACCCCCCCCCCCACCTCCCACAGTAGCTCACATCTTCTTCAGGCCATTGAAGTCCTTGTAGAGGGTCTCGTCATTCCACTCGATGACGCTGAGCTGGTGATTGTTCATGCCAGCAAAGGCGTAGATAAGGTGGGTGCACAGCTTGGGGTCCACATCCTTGGGCAGGAAGCGAGCTGCCCCCTCTCTGTACTGGGCCCAGTTGGTGAAGTAGCAGACCAGTTTTGCAGCAGAGCCTGGCCATTGTGACAAGGAAGAGAAATGGTGGTCAGATGATAGCCTGGGGAGCTGTGCCCTTGGGTGTTGGGTGCTGAAATAATTCAAGGGATCTGACAGTTGGAAATGAGTTTTGGTTTTGGTTTGGCCAGCACCTTACAATTAGCAATGCATGTCCGGAGGCAGCCTTGTTTTCCTCAGGACGCCTATGAATGACCAAGACCTAATCATAATCTTCATTTGATGCATATGGAAGCTGAGGCTCAGAGAGAGGTTGGCACCTGTGCCATCATCATGGCTACTAAGAAGGTAGAGCTGAAGGACCAGACAGGATGCAAGTCTCCTGACCCTTTAACATCCTTGAAAGTCACTGGGCTCAGAGCCTGATCCTCAGGGCTAGGCTCTGGCAGTTAAACCCCCCTCCCCTTAGTTAGACCCATTCCTCCAGGCCCTGAACCCTATAAAAGGCAGACTCAAAGACACCCAGCATATTCTTCAAAGAGAATTAAGCATGGCACATTCATACACCTAAGGTAGGGAGACATTTTCAAAACAAGACTCAGAATACCTCCGAACGTTAATTAAAATGCCAGTGCACAAAGCAGCAGAGAAGAGGCCCCAGTGATAGGCCCTGTTTGTTTCTTAAGTTTCTGAGGTCTCTTCCAGCCTCGCATTCTATGATGACATTGTTTTTACACAATGTAAACACAACAAGGGGCTTGTTGGGACAGTGAGGTTGGACTGGAGTGTGTCTGTGCCTTGCATCCAGTCCCTAGGACTTCCCTGTGCTCAAACAGGATCCTTTTGTTCTCTCCTCCCTTTGCTAGACTGGTGGGAGGGTGAGGATGAAGATTGTTGTTATGTGCCATCGAGTCGGACCGACTTATAGCGACCCCTCCTTGGGTTGCAGAGTCAGTATCACTAAGGAAGTAGATTGCCCGACCTTCCTTCCAAGGAGTGGCTGGTGGGTTTGAACCGCCAGCCTTCTGGTTAGCAGTCAAATGCCTTAGGCACTATGCCACCAGAGCTCCTGAGGATGAAGATTAGGGGGTATAAAGTGCCTCCAGGAGGGAGTGTGAGAAGACACAGCACCCACCTCAACTGGAACCCAGTAGCATAGAGGGTCAAGGCTGCCCTGGGCACATGGAGGTTCCTGGGGCAGGAGTTGGGGCTTTTGGCTGTGTCCTTGGCCCCAATCAGAGGTTACCCAGGAGTGGAACTTGCTGGTGAGGGTTGGAGGTAGAGCCTGCTGTGACAAAGATGAGGGATTGGTCAAACCTCCCCAAGGCAAAAGAAGGAAGGAGGGGGCTAACCCAGAGAGCATATCCCCAGGGGCATCTAGGGAGGAATCTAGAGGCTCTCTTTATATTATATCATAATTTATCATATAAAATATCACACATATAGGTTTTTGTATTATAGAAGCAATGAAGTGCGGTGTTTCAGGGCAATGTGGTGGTTGAGAGCAGGGACTCTGGAGTTTCAATGCCTAGGAAATCCCAACTCAGCAACTCAACTCAGCTGCATTCTTTGTAAAATGGGGATGGTCATTGTACCTACTTCACAGGCTTGTTGTGTGAACTAAGAATTAACATATGTCAAACTCTTAGTGGCTGACATAGCTTGACATATATTAACTCTTAGTCCACATGAAATTCTATTATTGTTACTATACATCAATAAAGTCCAGATGAAACCAGGCAGGTAGACTCCTGCCCTTTGCAATTCCCAGGTCAATGAGGAGACACCAGGCTTTGAGGTGCTGGGAAAGGAACCTTTATTGCAGGCTGGCAAACTAGAATTCAGAGACCATGCCTCAGATCAAGCTCCCTGAAGCTGAGGATTTTAGGGCTGAAATAGGAATGGAATAGGGAAGTTATGATTATTCAAGGGCTTTCTGGGAACTCATTAATTATGCATTAGGTTCATTAACACGGTGGGGGTCAGGCCACTGAGGGATGTGTTTTTCAGGTTCTGACATACATAGATTAGTTTAGGATACAGTCCAGACAGACTGTGCCTGGGTGAAAGGGAGGGGTTGGAGTAAGAGAATGCTCTGGTAACTAGCAAGATATAGCAGGAACTTGGCTAGTATTTCAGTCCTTGTAGTCAGGCCACCTGAAGCGGTGCATTCTTACACAGAGCTAGCTTGGACTAAACTCTCTTCCTCATGTTTGTTATTTCTTTGGTCCCCTGACTGTTCTCTCCTATGAGACCAAGAGAGAGAATGCATGTCCAAAGCCTCAGGACAAGAGCCTAAAGGCACAAGCATTCCTGGGGCTACTGACACACAGGAAGCCTGTGGAATGGGAAGGGACTTTGGGAGTCCCAGAAGCTGAAAATGCAAGAAGACAAAAAGGAGCCCCTCCTGCCTCTTCCAAAGTCTGCATCCAAAGAGTTTAACAGATAATGGGAGCGAATGTGTCCTCCTTGCAGAGCTAAAGGGACAGAGACACGGAGCTGAATTGAATAAGACTTAGGCTCATTACCTAAGGGAGTCCCTGAATGATACAAATGGTTACACATTCACATGCTAATCAAAAGGTTGGAGGTTTGAGAGCACCCAGAGCACCTTGACAGAAAGGCTTGGCCATCAACATCTGAAAAATCGGCCACTGAAAACTGTGGAGCACAGTTCTACTCTGACACATAAGGGGTTGTCGTAAGTTGGAACTGACTCCACAGAAACTTACATCTAGTAGCTCAGAGCCTGGTGGAAAGACATATAGAATGAGAATTATAAGAACTACAATATGTCCCATAAAATGCTCCTAAGTACTAAGATAGCACAAAGGTGGAGGATCTCAAGAAAGATCCAAGGGAGGCTGACACTTAAACTGACCCTTTGGGTATGCAAGGGTTCAGCTAGTAAATAAGGAGGCAAGAATCTCTGAAGAGGCTGTTAGGGTGATGAAAACATGCAGGGGGTTGAACTTTGGAGGAAAGTTCCCACTGACACCTAGCAGGAGCTCTCCGAGTGTGTGTGTGTGTGTGTGTGTGTGTGCGCGCACATGTGCGTGTATGAACCCTGCAGTGGGGGTTAGGGTCTGCGTAGCAGATTTCAGAAAAGGAACAAAGGGCTGGTTTCAAGAAAGTTACTACTTACCCCATTGGATCATCAGCAGAACTATCAGACCTGAAGCAACACAAGAGAAAAGATAGAGGGTTAAGATGTCATCCTCACTTTCCCAGGCCCCTTAAGCTTAGTGAAATGCAGGGGGCTCAGGTGAGTAGTGAAGGATTGTTTCAAGGTGGTCTCATGCAAATCTCACCACACACACACACACACATTCAAAAGGGACCAAGGTGTACACTGTGTGTCCATCCTTCCCCCAGATGAGACACGGGGCTTCTCCCTGGCTTAGACTAGCCCCTGAAGTTGATGGACCCTCTCTAAGGGGTCAGTGAAGGCCAGAGTGGAATAGGAAGATGCTGAGAAAAAATCTTAACTTATGACACGTTCAGAAAGCTTCCCTTCAGGAGCAAGACAAAAACCCACCCGGGGGCTGGAAAAAGCCAGTTTGGAAGGGCCGGGCGGGATGGCTGGGAGACCACAGAGCACTTCTGCTGCACTCTGCTTCCACCTGCTGCTTTCTTGCACAACCACAAGAAGCTAACTGTACTGTCAGCATCCTTGGAGGCCCAGAACTCAAGGCTTCTGGAGCAGAGAGGAGGTGGGGTAAGAGGAAAAGAACAATGTAGCACTGATTTTCTGAGGTCTGATGGGCAGGATTGGCTGGAGAGGAGGGAGAGCCTGGTTTGCCATGAAGGGTAGAAGGAGCATGGCACCAGCATTCTGAGCACCTCTTAGTGCTGGGTGCTTTACATATGTCATCTCATTTAGTAGCCTCAACAGTGTTCTGAGAGAAAGGTATTTTCCCTATTTCACAGTGTGGGAAGCCTGGAGCTCAATAATGTTCAGCTGCTTGCCCAAGGTTCCCAGGGATTACAGGGTGGAGCCACGTCTGGAAATTGGCAAGAGCTGGGCCTCCTGTTCCTCAGCATTGTGTAACTGTGTGCTCTTTATGATCTTTTCTTGCTGCTGGTGGTGATGGTCGGGAGAGTTAAGTTAAGGAACTTTTAAATCCAGGGGTCTATGAGACAAGATGGAGGGAGGATCTGAGGCCACAGGCTGGACTGAGGCTCTCTAGGCTCAGGTTGGGTAACCTATGGGTAAGAGGGAACTGGAGTGGAGGAGCCCGAAGTTCTCTAAGGCCCAGCAGAGGTTCTAATAGTCCCAGCCTCAGCCCTGCCACTTTGGGCTCAGCAGAGCTCCTTAAAAGAGGTTCGTCCACTTTTCTGATGACCTAGGATGTTCCTGTTCACCTTAATAAAACCTGCATGAGAATTTTGGAGGGCTTCCAGGGTGGATGGCTCCTGGATTGCTCTCTTGCAACCCACATAGCACTGGGATTGGAGAAGAACCCTTGGTGGTGGACACTTACTGAATAAGACCAAAAGTAGGGATAAACATACCAAAAAATAAAAAAGACAAAAACACCCTATGCAGGAGGGGTCACTGTTCCTGGGATTCCAGAACAGAAGGCATAAAAGTGTTTCTGGTGCACTGAAGAAAAAAAAAAACTTCCTTTGCAGCAGAAAGGTCCATGTGGGGAGGGATGAGTTGAAGTTCTTCCGAGCTCTCCTGCTTACTCTACCTTCCAGTGCACATCCCCACCTCACCCCCACAGCTCCCAAAGCCCAGGCCACTCTCCCTAGCAATGCCCACTCACCTGCCCAGGCCATGGGCCTTGCCATGATGCTGGCTCAGCTTCAGACTCCAGCCAGGTACAACCAGCTCTTCAGGTCCTGCTCTTTAATCTGGCCACCCTGTCCCATCCCATCCGGGAGTGTTGAAATCAGGAGGGCACAGGGAGGAGGGACATTGTGTGGAGGGTGGCTGTCAAATGTCATGAGTTGGGCAAACCTGACACAATGGCTTTTAACAATTGCTGGTTTTCTGGAACAATCACAGGATGCAAAGTGGGCTGTTGGTGTTGCCAAACAAGTTGGGAAAGAGAGGGAAGAGGGATCTATTTCTAAACCTTCTGCCGGACAAGCATGACTCTGATTGTCTTTGTGTGGGTTGAGAAGGACCATGAGCAGCCCCAGACTTAATGAGACTTTAGAGAAGGGGAAATGACTGAAGATTTAGGGAATCCAGACTCCATACCATCTCTCTTGCTCCTTCACCGCCCTTTGGAACTCAGGTTTCCCATCCACAAGTTCTCTGATGGATGATTTTATTCACGATGATGTTGGAAACATAATGTAGATTTCATAACTTCCATATGATAGTAATATTTTCTTTATCTGTTGATTGGGAAAAATACATAATGGTAAACATTGCTATAAGTTTAGCAATTGTTCTAAATGCCTGTGCTTGTTAGGAAGGGACCTAAGTGGATACATATTTCTTATTCTGTCTGCAGACAATGACTTGTGCTTGTACAAACTCAAGGACCCCTGGAAAAGCTCTGCAGCTTCTAAGGCATTTGGTCCTTGCTCCTAGGCTTCAAATGAGTGGTCTGAATGGCAGAGAGGGAATCTGGAGGTGGCAGGAGGGGCACCCAGCCAGAGTGGAGAGGCCAGAGGCAGTGATGTTTTGACAAGTGGTTGTTGCCGGCAAAGAGAATGGGCAGAAGCTAATAACAAGCATGCTAGGTGGCCAGTGGTGGAGAATCTCAGCCAGGAAACTGCCATCACACCTGCTGAGACTGTGTTGTTGTTGTTGTTGTTGTTTGCCATTGAATCAGCCTCGACTCATAGCGACCCCTCCTTGGGTTTCCGAGGCAGTATCACTATGGAAGTAGATTGCCCCATCTTCCTTCCGAGGAGTGGCTGGTGGGTTTGAACCACCAGCCTTCTGGTTAGCAGTCAAGTGCCTTAGGCACTATGCTACCAGAGCTCCTACATCATACATAAGTAAAATCTTCCTGAAGATAATTTAAAAATGGCTGCAGTAATATATTGACAGAGAACTTCCAGAAATGCAAGCTGGATTCAGAAGAGGACGTGGACAAGGGATAACACTGCTGATGTTAGATGGATCTTGGCAGAAAGCAAAGAATACCAGAAAGATGTTTACTTGTGTTTTATTGACTATGCAAAGCATTCAATTGTGTGTATCATAACAAATCATGGATAACATTGAGAAGAATAGGAATTTCAGAACAATTAATTGTGCTCATGAGGAACCTGTACATGGACCAAGAGGCTGTCATTCAAACAGAACAAAGGGATGCTGCATGATTTAAAATCAGGAAGGGAGTGTGTCAGGGTTGTATCCTTTCACCATACTTATTCAATCTGAATGCTGAGCAAATAATCCAAGAAACTGGACTATAGGAGTGTGACATCAAGATTGGAGGAGGACTCATTAAGAACTTGCTATATTCAGATGACACAACTTTGCTAGCTGAAAGTGAAGATGACTTGAAGCACTTACTGATGAAGATTAAAGACTACAGTCTGCAGTATGGATTACATCTCGACATAAAGTAAACAAAAATCCTCACTACTCGACCAATGAGCAGCATCACAATAAATGTAGAAAAGATTGAAGTTGTCAAAAATTTCATATTATTTGCTTCCACAATCAACAGCAATGGAAGCAGCAGTCAAGACATCAGATGAAGTATTGCACTGGGCAAATCTGCTGTCTTTAAAGTGCTGAAGAGCAAAGATATCTCTTTGAAGATTAAGGTGCACCTAACCCAAACCATGGTATTTTCAATCACCTTATATGCATGTGAGAGGTGGACAATGAATAAGGAAACCTGAAGAAACATTGATGTTTTTGAGTTATGGTGTTGGCGAAGAATACTGAAAATACCATGGACTACCAGAAGAACTAACAGATCTGTCCTGGAAAAAGTGCAGCCGGAATGCTCCTTGGAAGGGAGAATGGCCAGACTTTGTCTCATCTACTTTGGTCATGTTGTCGGAAGGAACCATCCCCTGGAGAAGGATGTCATGCTTGGTAAAGTGGAGGATCAATGAGAAAGAGGAAGGCCCTCAATGAGATGGATTGACACAGTGGCTGCAATGATGGGCTCAGGTATAGCAAGGATTGTGAGGCTGGCACAGGCCCTGGCAGTGTTTCATTCTGTTGTGCATAGGGTTGCTATGAGGTGGAGCTGACTTGATGGCACCTAACAACAACAATGTCCCATCAACAGAGAACCACGAGTTGAGAAGGGCGGGCTGTGGTAGCCTTCTGCTGAAGGGCTCTGGGAGGAAGGGGGCTGGGCATAGCTGGTGGGAGAGGACAGAGGGCAATGCTTTGCTGACGTGGACTTTTCTTACAGGTCTGAGTTGCAAGGTTTCAAAGAATAGTAAGTCCCCCTCTGGGACTGAGGCCTGGGGAGCAGGAAGCAGGGTCATCTCACTTAAAGTCTGGGAGGAATCTTCTCGAGAGTCTTGAATTTCTATGCAAAGTAAGCCAGTCTCAACATGTAGGACAGGTCATCAATGTATAGAGCTGGAAGATCATACATAATGCTTCAGCAAGCTCTAGTCAACTGCCCCCTATGTCTTTGCTCCTTAACCCTCTCTTGTCTGAAGCTGCCCTTATTACCTCCCTGCTCCCAAATCCTATAGAAGTCTCCCTGATTTAAGCCTTGGCTCTCCCCAGTCACTCTAGTCCACACCATCTTCTGTGGTCTCTGAACAACTCCTTCAGTCCAGAGCAGGGGGGACTTTCCTTGGAGTTAGACAGAGCTGATGTGCTTCAATGGGTACCCCAAGGAATGACTTTGGGAAGCTTTATTCACTCTTTTCCAACCTCTTCAAGCCTCGATTTTATCATTTGCAATATGGAGATAATAATATTCATCTTATTTGACTGTGGTATGGATTGTACAGATAATGAGTCGACTGTTATTAGCTGACATTAAGTCAGCTCTTGACTCATGGAGACCTCAATCACATCAGAATGAAACACCAGTCCTGTGACATCCCCATGATTGTTTGTGAATCACACCATTGTGATCCATAGGATTTTTATTGGCTGGTGTTTCAGAAGTAGGTCACTAGGCCTTTTTCCCTAGTCTATCAGTCTGGAAGTTTGCTGAAACATGTTCAGCATCAAAGCATGACTAATGAGTGGTGGCTGTGTATGAGGTGCAGTAGTTGGAAATTCTGCATGGAAGGTGAAAATCCTACCATTGAACAACCACTGCCCTCAAAGTATATAAGGGCTTTGTAAATGATGGGACTCCAACCACATCTTAGTATTGATACTGTGATTATGATGGTTGGTATCACACTGCCCTGTACTTGACTTCATGGCTATCCTGGATGGTCCAAAGACACACTGGGCTGGGCCTCTCCCCATACTACTCTATGTGTCTCTCTGTGCCAAGCTCATGGTAAGCCTTCAATTCATGGCTGTTAACTGTTTTTCTTTCCATACCCCAGACTGTTTCTTCCCTAGTTCTTCAACATCACAATAAAAGACAGCAGTACACACCCAGTTTCTCAAGTCACCTGGGAATCACCTTGATTCTTCTCTTTTCTTTACCCTCACATGACCCATACACTATCAGAAGTCCTCCCTCCTGTTCCATGTCCACCACCACCTCTCTATCCACTTCTATCCAATATTGTATTTAGAAGTCCTAGCCAGAGCAATAAGATGGAAAAAAAAAGAAAGAAAGAAGAAGAAGAAGAAGGAAAGAAAGAAATAAAGAAAAGATAGCTATTTTGGGAAATATTTTGCCCACAACCAAACCAAAATCACTGCCATTGAGTTGATTCTGACTCATAATGAACCCCTTTGGGTTTCTGAAGTGGTAAATCTTAATGGAAGTAGATTGTCCCATCTTCCTTCCACAGAGTGGCTGGTGGGTTTGAACCACCAACCTTCTGGTTAGTAGTCAAATGCCTTAGGCGCCATGCCACTGGAACTCCTTTATTTTGACCTTAGAATCCTTCAATACTGCAATTTAAGGCTTGATTTTTTTTTCTTCAGTTCTTTCTGCTTGAGGAATGCTGAGCATGTTCTTCACTTTTGGTTTTCTAATTCCAGGCAAATCTGCACTGGACGAATCTGCTGCAAAAGACTTCTTGAAGTGTTGAAAAATAAAGATGTCACTTTGAAGACTAAGGTGCACCAACCCAAGTCATGGTATTCTCAGTCATCTTCTATGCATGTGAAAGTTGGTCAATGAATAAGGAAGACCAAAGAAGAAGACTGAAGAAGAGCTGATGCCTTTGAATTGTGGTGTTGGTGAAGAATCCTGAAAATACCATGGAGTTCCAGAAGAATGAACAAATCTATCCTGGAAGAAGTGTAGCCAGCAGGAGACATCAATTGGCAAAACATACTACACAAAAACATTGTTCTACATCCTACTTTGGTGAGTAGTGATCAGTGTCTTAAAAGCTTGCAAGCAGCCATTAGATGCAACAATGGGTCTCTCCTCATCTAGAGCAAAGAAGAATGAAGAAAAGCAAAGATACAAGAAACCATTAGTCCAAGGGACTAGTAGATTGTGTGATCCTCAACTATATGACTATGAGACCAAAAGAACTAGATGGTACCCAGCTACCATTGTCAACCACTCTGAGGGGGATCGGTCAGGAGATCCTGGATAGAGTGGGAGAACAATGTGGAACAAAATGCAAGATCATAAAAAAAAAGACCAGGTTTGCTGGTCTGATAGAGCCTGGTGAGACCCCTGAAACTATGGCTCCTAGTTACTCTTCAGGTCTGGAATTCAACTCACTCCTGTGGCTTTCAGCCAAACAAAAGA